CTATCACACCCTAACACACTCCTGTAATGACCTGTAATCATAAACATGTTCTATCACACCCTAACACACTCCTGTAATCATAAACATGTTCTATCACAACCTAACACACTCCTGTAATCATAAACATGTTCTATCACACACTAACACACTCCTGTAATCATAAACCTGTTCTATCACAACCTAACACACTCCTGTAATCATAAACATGTTCTATCACACACTAACACACTCCTGTAATCATAAACCTGTTCTATCACAACCTAACACACTCCTGTAATCATAAACATGTTCTATCACACACTAACACACTCCTGTAATCATAAACATGTTCTATCACACCCTAACACACTCCTGTAATGTAATCATAATAATGTTATATCACACCTTAACACACTCTTGTAATTATAAACCTGTTCTATCACACCCCAAAACACTCCTGTAATGTAATCATAAACATGTCCTATCACACTCTTAACACACTCCTGTAATGTAATCATAAACATGTTCTATCACACCCTTAACACACTCCTGTAATCATAAACCTGTTCTGTCACACCCTAACACACTCCTGTAATGACCTGTAATCAAACATGTTCTATCACACCCCAACACACTCCTGTAATGTAATCATAAACATGTTCTATTACACCATAACACATTCCTGTAATCATAAACATGTTCTATCACACCTGAACACACTCCTGTAATGACCTGTAATCATCAATCAGCCCCCGCCCCTGTGCTTCAGTGGGAGTTGGAGATGACATTGTCTGCCCTGCACCACTGGCTGTGGACTCACTAGACTTGCTGGTTTCCACACCAGCACCTGCCACGCTGGTTTCCGCACCGGCACCTGCCACGTTGGTTTCCACACCGGCACCTGCCACGCTGGTTTCCACACCGGCACCGGCCACGCTGGTTTCACCGGCACCGGCCACGCTGGTTTCCACACCGGCACCTGCCACGCTGGTTTCCACACCGGCACCTGCCACGCTGGTTTCCACACCGGCACCGGCCACGCTGGTTTCCACACCGGCACCGGCCACGCTGGTTTCCACACCGGCACCGGCCACGCTGGTTTCCACACC